GTGCGGGGCAGAGGAGGGGGGGCAGCTTTTGCGCGGCCCCAGTGGCCTAATGGATAAGGCACTGGCCTCCTAAGCCAGGGACTGTGGGTTCGAGTCCCACCTGGGGTGGAAGTCACTTTTTGCCCACCCCGGCTCCTTGCAGCAGTGCCCCACAGGGAAGGGCGACGTGGGGACACCCCCCTTACATACACAGACCCCCTCATGCCTCGGCCCAGCCCCGCGGTAACTCACCGGGCGCTCCCTGCAGCGGTAAAAAGCTGCAGCCCGGGCCTCCCCCGACCTTTTATTCCTCCCCCCTCCCCGCCTCGGGAACAGGCCCCAGCTGGGGCTCAGCCTCCGCCCCGCTCCGGTTCGCCTTCACCCCCGGGACAGGGTGCCCTGGGTTGCTGCCCCGCCGTGGGGGAGAGCCCCGGGGGCACCAATGCCCCCGGAGAATTGTAGGGTGGATGCCGGCCTAAAGCTGCCCCCAGCACAGGCACGTTCCCTCGAGCTTTGCCCCACTGCTACCCCCGGGGATTCTCTCACCCCATGGGGTATCGATCGTTGTCCCCCCAAGCCAGTAACAAGGGGAAATTAAATGACTAGAGCATCTCTCGTGGCTTTAAAACAACCACGAAGGGACTCGAACCCTCAATCTTCTGATCCGAAGTCAGACGCCTTATCCATTAGGCCACGTGGTCCCCCATAACTCTGCCTTGGGGACAGTGACACACACGGGGGGGGGGTCCCGTGGGTGTCCCTGCCACCCCCTGCTCATCACCCGTGCTCCTGTCCCTCCTGGGATTGCAGCTGTTCCTCCTGGCCTAGCGCTGGCGATGGGGGTGAGCGGGTGGGGGGGGGTGTCCCTCCTCCCATGGGACCCCCCATGGTGCCAGTAGGTCACCATAGACATCCCCCCCCCAGCCTCAGTTTACCCCGTATGTGCTGATGGAGACTGTGCCGTGCAGGAATCCTGCGGGCTGGAGTGGCAACATTCCCCTTCTGCCACCAGCTTCGCTGCCCGCAGCTCAAGCCATGCTGCTGAGGATGCCAGCAACTCAGAACACAAATATAATCCAACATACAAAGTGCAGACACCATCCAGGAGACACCCCCAACACAGAGCAGCTGGGGTCACCCTCGCCTTCCAGCTGCCGGGGGTGTGCGAGTCCAGGCCTTCCTCGCCACATCCCCACGGAAAGGCAAAGTCAAGACCATCATCACATCTAGCCGAGGCTGTGTATCAGCCGTAAGCAGGAGGAAAGGAGTGTTTGAATCCCAGGGTCAGGCATGACTGGGGAGGAAGAAGGATGGGGACAGCCGGGACCCTGGAGACAACTCGTCCTTTCCCGAGACAGGATTCAGTGTGATGGTCACAGTTTCAATGAGCCACTGGTGATAGGCACCCACTGTAATGTAGCCCTGCTACAGTATAATGGTGTGATGCACAGAGAGACACCACAGGCCTCGTTAAGCTCCTGTTCATTATCAATAACACCCTCTGCACTCTCCTCCCAGTGCAGCTTGGCTTCTCCCCTAAACCTGTGTTTCTCATCTAATCCTCAAAAAGTTTCCCAAAGCCTGCCACAGGGCAGGAAGGTATTTTAACCTCTTCCACAGCCATGGGAGGTTTTGGGGGACATGTTGGTTCCTGGGGTACGTTCAGCTCAGCTCAACCAGTGTCTCTTTTCTGATGTGTCCATCAAACAAAAGCTGAACAGAAATGTGCTGGAGAGAAAGGGCTGTACAAGAAGAGCACTTGTGCTCTGCGGGTGTGCAAAGCTTCCCAGCACGGTGGGTGGCAGCAGCCAGCAGACAGACCAGAGCACGTAGCAGCTGCCCCAGCTCCATCCATCCTGGGCACCCCCCGAGATCTCGCCAAGGCGCGGGGGGCACAGGGGGTGTAGGGTGCAAATCCCAGCGGTGTCAGGTGGGAAGAGGCCGGTGTGATGGGGGGGCACAGCGGGCAGCGCCAAGCCAGATGTGTGGTGGGGATGGCATGGCCAAGTGGGTCCAGTGCCTGATGGTGGACTGGGGGGCCAAGGGTCCGAGTCCCCCATGGCCGAGTGTCCTTTGGCCCTGGGGTCTTACCCCAGGGTGCAGGCAGGGCTGCAGGAAGCTCCTTGTTGCTGGCAGCGGTTGCCTGCTCTTGCCCAGCACCAGGGAATTTGCAGCCCTGAGAAAGTTATGTGTCACTGCGGCATCTCCCCTGGGGCTGTCTTCTTCCCTCTCTGCACCCTAGTCCTCACCCACCAGCCAGCAAAGATGGTCCCACTCATACGGAGCAGCACAGGTTCAGCCTTCTGCTGCCTGAGGCTTAGCGCTCCAGAGGGAGGAGAGGAGAGAAACAGCAGGAACAAAACTTGGTGCTACCCGAGCGAGGCCATCGCTGATGGAAGTCCCTCTGACCACACAGTGAACCAGCCCAGGCCCCTCACGGTGCTGCCACCAGGACAGCCCAGCGGGAGCGCAGGTACAGCATCTCCAGAAGATGCAAAGAAAGTGCTGCCCGAAGGAAGCC